AGCTCTGGCATACCTGGTTGGACATGTGGACTCACTACTTGCTCCTCACTCCCATTCAATGACCATTTTAATGCTTTCTCAACTTTCAATTAAATTTACCAAATGTTATTTTCTCTCATTGTACTATAAGTGATTTTACCAGGAATGATTTTCTAATAACCATCAATATTGTTAAAGTCACTATTTAATGAATAATATGAAGTAGTGATATATTAGAGAGCTAACAACTCCAGTGAAGATAAGTTTTAAAATTAATTTTTATTTAATTACTTCTCTTGTAACATGTTTTGACAGTATTGTTTCCCAATTCATGAAGATTCTTAAGGTACATAACGTTAGGAGTAGTTGTCACTCGCAGGCCTAATGTTTAGGATACACAGATTCCTATCCTCATGGATTTTGCTATTATTGCGGGTAGCTTAATCCAGATTCTAATTTCATCCTTAATAAAGAAAATGTTTGTTAAAACAGTTATACAGTCTACCCTGTGAATACAGAACTCATTAGAGTATACTGACTTGAGAATAAAATATGTGCTCACAGACTCAGTCTGCTACAACTCAATGCTATCAATAGTGTCTTCATCATAGAAAACATCACAGATGTAAAATTTGCCGAATTAGGTAATTATTGTCAAGGTGTCAATTTTGGACTCTCCTCACAGTGTTGTTCAGTAAACTGTTCATGTCTAGGAAATAAACCACACTGTGCTTTCAAATCCACTGGGGAACCAATTTACATATTAAGATGTAGTAAACATTATCTGTGAAAAAATAAAACAGGCAAATTAGGAAATATTAAGGAGATTCACTGACATAGAAATTAAGATCTATAGACAGATTTCTAGTTGGGGACAAAGCTACATTTACTTGAAGAAAACTTTATGATCTGCAGAAACAAAATTCCTTAACAGAAGAGTATAAAGTTCTGATGATACAAGTGATTCAAATAAAATAGAGAAGACATCTAAATCACGGTGAATAAAAGTAAAAAATTAATCTGTATTAGTAAGGTAAATATGACTTATTTTTTATACTGATATCCACTATATTTCAATATCATTTTATTCCAAACTTAAAGCTAAGATATAGTAGAAACCACATTATTTTAAATGTTAATGCATATTTTATAAAGTAAATATAATTTAAATAGTAAACACTATTTAAATTTACTATTGGTATAGTAAACACAGATGCTACATCACTTCCAAATGGAGAAATCTTTACTCATGATAATTTTGTGAAGCACAGATAATTTTATAGAACACTTCATTTTGCAGCAGCATATTTTAACAAATTAACAAGGTGGCACATCCCCTTATTCTGTCGTAATCATATTTTAATCATAGTCGAAAGCAAACAACCCATTTAACATATTCATAATAATGAAGGAATCCAAAAACTAATTATTTTTGAAGGATCATAGTGAATTCATAGAAATAAATATTGTATGATAAATAGAAAAATATTTTATAATCAATATCATTACCTAATTTCATCAGAGGAAGAATAATGATTATGTCTATAGTAAAAAGCAGTCTAAAACATTTATGAAAATTCTAAATTTTAGATGACTTTGAATACTATTAAAATTTTTTTAAGACTTTGGATTTATTCATATAAGAGAAACTTAAAATAGAAATTCCCTGTCATTATACTTTTTATTGCAAACATGTTAGAAATTAAATATTTACTTAAAAACAATATTATTTGAATAGAGCACAGTGAGTCAGTTTCTCCTTTTTGTAGCTTCATGTCCCCAAAAGCAGAAGATACACCAATGGCCAGAATTAGTAACTATATTTTAGTAACTATATTTTAATAACTATATTTAGTTTAGCATAATTTTAAACTGTACAGTGAGCAGATGGAGAAATATTTTCTAACAGTGAATTATATTAATTTTTGCCACTTGAAAACATGATGTAGAGGAATTTTATTGTTCTTTTCCTCTATATCAATCACCTTTCTCTTCTTGAGAGTGAAAACTTCCTTTAAAAGTGTCTTTTTAGTTAAAAGTTGAATGTCACAATGAGCATCAGTGCAGAGTACCATTTACTAAAGAAAAATCATGTCTGATGTGGTAAAATAGGCATGGCCTTTTCCTTTCAGTTCATCTAGGATTTATGTGATAAATTTCACACTAAAGGCTCTTATTTGAAGTCTTGATAATGAAGCCTCATCAAGGAGACCAGAAAGTAAGGGAAAAAGAGTAAAAACAGATTCCTAGCTGTATCACCATCAGACGGACATGAAAGGTTTCACTAGAACTTTATCAAACAAGGGAGATGATACTCATTTTCAGGATAAATATCAAGCGAGGGAGAGATTCCAATAATGTCTTAGACTAAATTTTAATTAAAACATTTGGAGTAAAACTATTAGAAAATGTAGTAGAATTAAACATAATATTTGAAAACAAGTATAGATAATATACATAGAAATGTGTACTATGACTAACTACCTTAAAATTTTTGCCTGTATTAATAGGTATAAGTCACATAATATCCTAAATAATTTTAGAACTGTTAGGTTTTAGGATAGCCTAGCAAGTTATGACCAAACTATACCACTGTATATATCATACACAGTAGGAGAAAATAGAAGAACAATTTAACTGCAAAACATTTTAGTAGAACACCATCCTATATTGACGATATTGTTACTATACTTTGCTTTCTATACAAGGTGTTGTAAATATGAAAAATGAATCTGTGTAATGAGTACTCAGAGATCATCAGAAATGAAATTTCTTAGGAGGCATTATTTTCAGGATTGTGTAGAAGTACAAATTTAACCACTACAATGAATGAGGACCTCTTTGTCACTGTATGAAAATACTCCCTCTGAACATACCAAAGAAATAAAGGTTGAAATAAATTAGTTTTCAGTAAAGTAAATCAGTAAGACCACAAATTGAAATCTTAATAATAAGTGTGATGAATTACTGGAGAAAAGTAGCACATTAATGTAAAATATCGAGAACTTAATGTACATAGAGAAACAAACTGAAGAATAACCTTATGTAAATAAGTACTATTTTATATTGCTTTATTTAACTTTCTCTAATTAAATTGCTCAAATACGGATATTATTAGAACAGTTTGGAACAAAATGAAAGTCCAGAGGAGAAAGTTTATATTATGAGTAATCATTATGCCTTATTAAAAGTTATCAGATTGCCTAATTTTAGTATCACTATAATTCTTTTAAAAAGTGAAGTTACAAGTGTTTATCTGAATAGTTAGTGGGAAATTTCAAAATTTTGATGATGCAGAGTCCTGAGAGTTTAACATGACACGATGTTATTGCTTCTTATGACCCAGGACTCTACCTATGTGCCCTCTTCACTTAGTGCCCCTCCATTATATTCTTACATACATCCTGATAGGAAATGTGTTCCTAAACTGGATTACAAGAGGGAAATTTCAAACACCCCTACTAAATGCATGTCAGAAAGATATTTCTTTTAACCATAATCTCCCAAACTATTCTGTTTTTATTGTTAAATTGTTTGTCAGTATGAAGTGAAAAATGAGGTAAATATGTACAAATTAAATTATAAGATAAAAGGAATCATGAAATATAATATATAAAGCTGGGCATTGATGGCACAAACCTTTAATCTCAGCACTTCAGAGGCAGAGGCAGGCAGATCTCTGTGAGTTTGAGGCCAGCCTGGTCTTCAGAGTGAGTGCCAGGACAGGCTACAAAGCTACACAGAGAAATCATTTCTCAAAAAACAACAACAATAATAATAATAATTAATTAATAAATAAAATATGTTGTAGTACTTAAACTAGCTAAAAGGGAGTACTTTGAAGTTTTAATAAGAAAATTTTATAATAAATATTTGAAGAAATAATAAAGAATAGTATGTATATATTGAAACCCACTAGGCTAAGGCATTTGTATGTACAATTATGTGTTTTTCCATATATTTTCTTTTTTATTGAAATTAGTTTTCTTTCATACAATATAATCAGATTATGGTTTTCCCTTCCTGACTCCTCCAAACCAAGTCCACACCTTTTTCTTTCTTTCGTTAGAAAACAACGGGCATTCTGAAAACAATATGAAAATAAATATGACAAAATAAAAATAAACATACTTGAATAAGACAAAATAAACAAGCAAATAGAATTCAAAGAAAACTATGAGCACACATTACAATGATACGTATATTCACATACTACAATCCCAGAAAACACAAAACTGGAAACATATATATAAAGACTTGTAAGTTTTTACAAAAAATACAATGCCAAAGAATTACTGGACAAAGAACCTCCCAAAATATCAAGGACTTTTTTGTGTGTGTGCTGGCCATCGACTGTTGGGCATGGGGTCTGCACTAAACAGTGGTTTGTATATCCAGTGAGACTTAATTGGAGAAAATGATTTTTTTCTTTGGCCAGGGGTTATAAATTGGAGACAACTTATGGGTTAGGGCAAAGACAATTTGACTTTAAATTACTAGTAAGCATTTTAAAATTATATTTAGAAAATATTAATGATATGTCTTTCCAAAAAATCTAACAAAATACATTTCAGATCAGACTGAAGCTGGAGTTACAGACTGTTGTGAGTTGCCTTGTGGGTGCTGTATTCAAATCTGGGTTTTTATTCATGCAAAGTTCTGAAACGCTGAGCCTATTCTCTGAACCTATAAAAGCATAGTCAGAAAATAGATAGCTAGTGGTATCAGAGATAATGCAAATCTGTTAATATATTTATCAGGAGTAACTTCCGATGCTGCTAAGGTCTCTGCTGTGTGGAAAATAATGTAGTGTAGTTAGGCAGGCTAACATTAAGTTTTAAAGGTAGTTTAGGGAATCTATGGAGGAATAAAAGATAAGTTCTAAAATAGCTAAAAGTAAAATTCTTAAGTATCAGTACTTTTACAGTAGACAAAATTGGTCAGATGATAAAAATTAATCAGGATGACTGATCTTACCCTAAGTGAAAGTAAACAACCATGCTTCTGAATCTGCTTCACAGATGATCCACCAACAAAAGCCACAGGGAGGAAATCTAACGTATCTGAAGGAATTTGTTCTACTGGGATTTTCAGATGTTCCTCACCTCCAGTGGTTTCTATCTGGACTGTTGGTTGTCATTTATTGCTTCATCTTATTGGGCAATGGCACCATTGTAATAATCACAAGGGTGGACTCTGCTCTTCAGACCCCCATGTATTTTTTTCTTGGCAATTTTTCCTTTTTAGAGATATGTTATGTGTCAGTTACTCTGCCCAGAATGGTCTTCAACCTCGCCACTCAGAGAAGAACCATCTCTTTCACGGCCTGTGCTACACAAATGTGCTGCACTCTTATCCTGGGGGCCACAGAGTGTTTCCTGCTGGCTGTCATGGCCTATGATCGGTATGTGGCCATCTGTAACCCTCTGCACTATCCTCTAGTCATGAGCCAAAGGGTGTGTTCTCAGCTGGTGATTGGCTCCTGGATCAGTGGAATTCCAGTACAGATAGGGCAGACATCGCAGATTTTTTCTCTTCCCTTTTGTCATTCCAACCAAATCAACCACTTCTTCTGTGACATCCCCCCAGTACTTCACCTGGCCTGTGGGGACATGATTGTGAATGAAATGATGGTTTTTCTAGGTGCTGTGATATTTGTGTTGGTTCCATTCTTGTTAATAGTCTTTTCCTACAGTAAAATCATTTCTACAGTCCTGAAGTTGCCATCAGTCACAAGTCAGGCCAAAGCCTTCTCTACATGTTCATCTCATCTTGCAGTTGTGATGTTATTTTTTGGATCTGCTATGATTACATATTTTAGATCTAATATTAGTCATTCAGGTCAAACTGACAAAGTGCTTTCTCTTTTCTATACTGTTGTGACTCCCATGTTTAATCCCATGGTATACAGTCTAAGAAACAAGGATGTCACAATAGCATTGAGAAAATTCTTGTGCAAACAATTTACTAAAACATAATATGACTTATATTGGAAATATGGATTTGAATTTGTCTGTAATTAATTTGCAGAGATGTCTGTCTTTAACAATCAATGTATCTTAATGTCTACACTAAGTGATCCCTACGAAATAAATTATCTTTGTAGTGTTGAGAGAAACTTATCTCTTCAAGTATGTCTTGATATATATTACCAAACTAAATACACATCATATTTACATCTATATTTCTTGTGAACTCATTCCAAAAGAACATTTGAGACAATCAATGTAAGTGGATTTATTGTACCACCTCTTCTTATGTAATAACTACTTTAAATCTTGTCTACCTCATTTATACATAGACACAATGGTTTTACAACTATGTATTAAAGTTAGTTTTGACTGTGTATAAAGACTGTGACTGCCATGGCTGATGACATGCATATTATTGTTGGAAGTCACATGATTACAGAAGAGTTCATACCATTTCAATTTGTCCTTGGTCTTCTATACAAGTGATGAGGACACCAGTTCCCTTAAACACACACACACACACACACACACACACACACACACACACACACGCACACACACGCACACACACGCACACACACACAAAATAATACTTCTTAAGAAACAGTTCCATAACATGCTGAGGAGAAGGTACTTTCTTCTGTGTTTGGATGAAATGTTCTGTCTACTTTGTTTGCTATGTCATTTGGTTCTAGCATTTCCCAGTTTATGTTTTGACTGGGTGATCTGTCTCTTGGCAAGAGTGGAGTACTGAAGATACTCACTCTCACTGTGTATAGGGCATTATGTGATTTTAATTATAACACTGTCCCTTTTATGAACTTTGGTGATCTAGTGTTTGTTGCCTAGATATTTTGAGTTGAGTTACATTCTTTGTGGATTTTTCTTTTGAGAACATAATTTATACTATATCTGATCAGTTTTAGTTTGACGTCTATGTCCTCAGCTATTAATGTGGCTACAACAATTTGTTTTTGTGACATTGTTACTTAAGGTTTAAATACAAGTAAATAGAAAATGTGTTCATTGAGAATGTAGAAGTCAGTACTAACTTTATTTATTCTTTAAAAATATTCTTTAAAAATATTCTTTATTTCTGAAATTAAATATATTTACATTGTCTTCCCCCTTTATTCCCTCCAAACATTGCTAGGTTTTTCTATTATTCATATTCATCCCCTCAATTACTCTACTGTTGTCACACACACAATCTACATGCACAGCATATACATATATGTATGTACAATTTGTTCAGTTAATATATTTACATGTATGATTTCAGAGTTGATCAGTTGGTATTGGAAAAAACGTGTACACTCTGCATTGGAAGAGACAATTGCTCATGCTCTCAGAATTCCTTAGTTAACTCTAGTTTTTGTCTATGTTGGAGGCCCCATGATTTTTTTCCTTCTCTGTTACTTTATCTAGTGGTGTTGTACTTGTTTAGACAACCATATTTATAAACCTCCATGAGTGTAGCTTCTCTGATACTTTTAGGTGATTTTTCCAGTGATACTTCTATCTTCATATTATACCTGATTTTTAATATTCCTTTTTTTTCTTTTTATTTAAATTAGAAATAAGCTTGCTTTACATGTCAATCCCAGTTGCCTCTCCCTCACCTCCTGCCCTGCCCCCAACCAACTCCCTATCCCATTCCCTTTCTGCTCCCCAGGGAGGGTGAGGAATTCCATGGGGATCTTCAAAGTCCATCAAATTAGCTGAGCCTAGGACCAGGCTGACAGGTATCGCTCTATGTGGAATGGGCTCGCAAAGTCCATTAATGTACTAGGAAAAAAAATACTGATCCACTACTACAAGTCCCATAGATTGCCTAATTATAATTATTTTAATTAAAACATCCATGAAATAAACAACCTCTCTTGCTACTTCAGGCAGAATGGAATAAAAGAGAAACTGAGGAATCCCTGTATTCTCAATGTCTCAGATACACGTACAAAAAAGGGTGGTGTCCGATTTTTACCAAGAATAACATTCAAATTGTTTTTTCAATTAAATCAGAAACAAGCTTGTCGAACATGTCAACCCCAGCTCCCTCTACCTCATCTCCTCCCATGTACCCCACCGACCCCCATCCATTCCCCCCTCTGCATTGCAGGGAGGTGAAGTCTTCCATGGGGGATCTTCAAGGTCTGTCATATCATTTGGGACAGGGCCTAGATTCCCTTGTCTGTATTAGCTGAGAGAGTATCCCTCTATATGGAATGGGCTCCAAAGTCCATTAGTACAGCAGGGGCAAACACTGATCCACTACCAGAGGCCCCATAGATTGCCCAGGCTTCCTAACTGACACCCATGTTCAGGGGGTATGGATCAGTCCCATGCTGGTTTCCCAGCTGGGGTCCATGAGCGCCCCTGTGTTCAGGTCACCTGCTTCTGTGGGTTTCTCCAGCCTGTTCTTGACCCCTTTGTTACTCACTCCTCCCTCTCTGCAACTGGATTCCAGGAGTTCGGCTCAGTGTTTAACTGTGTGTGTCTGCTTCTGCTTCCTTCAGCTACTGGATGCAGGCTCTAGGATGGCATGTAAGGTAGTCATCAATCTCATTATAGGGGAAAGGCATTTAAGTTAGACTCTCCACTATTGCTTAGATTGTTAGTTGCAGTCATCCTTGTAGGTCTCTGGGCATTTTCCTAGTGCCAGATATCTCTTTAAACCTATATTGGCTCCCTCTTTTGTGGTATCTCTTATCTTGCTCTCCTATATTCTTATCCCGACTCAATCTTCCTTCTCCCTCATGTCCTCCTCTCCCCTCCTCTTCTCCCCTACTTTTCTCCTAACTCCCTTTCTCCTCCCCCATGCTTCCAATTACCTCAGGAGATCTTTTCCCTTTCCCCTTCTCCAGCGGACCATGTAAGTCTCTCTTAGGGTACTCCTTGTTTTCTAGCTTCTCTGGTGGTGTGGATTGTAGGCTCCTAATCCTTTGCTCCATGTCTAAAATCCATATATGAGTGAGTATATACTATATTTGTCCTTTTGTGACTGGGTTACTTCACTCAGAATGGTTTCTTCTAGTTCCATCCATTTGCCTGCAGATTTCAACAATCCATTTTTTCCCCTCTGAGTAGTACTTGTAAATATACCACATTTTCTCCATCCATTCTTCAGTTGTGGGGCATCTAGGTTGCTTCAGGTTCTGGCTATTGCAAATAATGCTGCTAGGAACATGGTTGAACAGATGTCCTTGTATGAATGTGCTTCTTTTGGGTATACGCCTAAGAGTGGAATTGCTGGATCTTGAGGTAGACTGATTCCCATTTTCTTGAGGAGTCACCACACTGATTTCCAACGTGTCTGAACAAGTTTGCACTTCCACCAGCAATGAAGTAGTGTTCCCCTTTCTCCACATCCTCTCCAGCACAAACTGTCATTGGTGATTTTGAATTTAGCCATTCTGAGAGGAGCAGGATTGTATCTTGGAATTGTTTTGATTTGCATTTCCCAGATGGCTAACAATGTTCAGCACTGTCTTAAGTGTATTTCAGCCATTTTAGATTCCTCTTACGAGGTTGAAAAAGTCCAATGAAGTCCAATACCAATAGAGAGATGGCTGTACACTATAGTCAGTGACACCAAGAAAAGGATTTGGAATTTTATTCTGATTCTGAAAGATGGTAAATTCATGAGTTGTCCTTATCAGAATGAAGACCATGAAGGTATATAACTTTATAAATTACTTTCACAATCTTGTCTACCTTACTGCAAATGGGTTCTCTCTAAATGTCATTAAGATTATATATTTTAAAGTTATTATTTTAAAAGAATGATCGAGTTTGTAGGTTTTCAGAATCAATGTAGTTTAATAGGTTTATACAATGTTACAAAATAGTGAGAATTAGTCTTTATTACTAGATAATTAGCATGGCTATAAGAAGTGTATATTTATTTGTTATCTAATATTTACTAATTGTTATTTATCATCCCTTCTTTGTCATTTCAGTGTCCTAATATTAATATTACACATTAATATAACACTGAACATTGCAAAGAAATTTCTGTCATATGAAGATCCACTTCATCTACTCCAATTAACTCATAAACAATAATATTAAACTCATCAACTCATTAAAATTTTTATGGATACTAGCTTTATTGCATGCTATTTTTATATTTATTATTCATTATTATTTTAATAAGATAATAATAATAATAATAATAATAATAATAATAATAATAATAATAATTTGGGGAAGTTTATTGTCAGAAGTTGGAGAGATGGATCATCATTTAAGAGTTCTTGCTGCTCTTCTTCAAGATAATGGGTACTTTATTCAGACACCCACATGAATTTGCTTAACACCACTTGCAACTCCAGCTCCAGATGTTCATGTAGCCTCTTCTGGCCTCTGTGGCACACATGCATACACTTATACATGTAAATAAAAAAATTAAACTTTTAAAAAATAAAGATGTTTATCATCATGCAATTGTTTGAAAGTAAATTATAATAAAACCATTTAGTATTCCATACATATTAATGTCTACAGTTAAATAAAGTATTACTCAAAATTGTTATTAAATGGAATACCTCAAACTTCATGTTGAATATTCATGATCCTAAAGTACTTATTTTTATTTCTCTTATCTAAAATATTAGGCCTGCTTTAATATTATAAGATCTGGTGGAATATTCTAGTATTCTGCCCTGCTAAAATTTGACACATTAATGTGTATTTTTAAGGGGCATCTAGGGAGTCTAGAGAAATTATTATTTGTATTACTTTATTTTCTACCTGAAGAGTCCTTGTTGGGAAGCATAAGTAGGAAGTAAATGGATCTTTGGGTTGGGACACACGAATACAGTTACTGATTAATAACTGAGGAGTCTTAGTTTTGTACATGGAGTAAAAATAGAAATGACACTTTCTATTCTCACTTTCACTGCTGTCATTTTGTATCAGCGTTTTTGGTGAATGGTCAGCCCAGATAATTCTGCATAACACTCAATTCACACACCCAAGGAAGAAAAATGAGACTTTCTGTTCCT